GGCCATGCTGAGGCCGTGTCCCACATACAGCAACTAGAAGGATGTGCAACTGTGACATACAACTATCTACTGGGGCTTTGGGGGAAAAAATAAATAAATAAAATTATTAAAAAAAAAAAAAAAAAAAAAGATTCACCTGGAAAGATGTTTTAAAACACAATGCTCTCCACGGCTCCACCCAAACCAATAAATCAGACTCTCCGTGGGGTGAGGCCTGAGCATCTCACATCTAACCAACGGTTGACACCCACTGGCCTGGATGGTCTCTAGGGGAGGGCTGCAGATAAAACGCAGGATGCCCAGGTAAATCTGAATTTCAGATAAACCGTGAGAACTTTGTAGTATAAGTGTGCCCCCACACATTGCATCGGATATACTTATACTAAAAAAATTATTCTCTGTGTATCTGAAATTCAAATGTAACTGGGAGTCCTGCATTTTCATTTGTGAATCTGGCTACCCTACTAGAGAGGCTTGTCCTTTCTTTTTTTTTTTTTTTTTTTTTTTGTGAGGAGATCAGCCCTGTGCTAACATCCGCCAATCCTCCACTTTTTTTGCTGAGGAAGACGGCCCTGGGCTAACATCTGTGCCCATCCTCCTCCACTTTATATGGGACGCCGCCACAGCATGGCTTGCCAAGCAGTGCGTCGGTACGCGCCCGGGATCCGAACCAGCGAACCCCGGGCCGCCGCGGCTTGTCCTTTCTTAATGGCCTGGGGTGTGGGGATTCTCCTCGGGTTCCCCCTCTGTAGAATGGGTGGGTCTGGTGTTGTGGAGGGGAAGAATGGGAAGCACCTGGCCCTGGTGTTGTGGAGGGTGGGATGGGATCTTCACTATCTCCAGCACTTTGCATGGCGGCATGTGGTCAGTGCTCGGTCAACGTTAGCTGTTGGTGTCTGTGTTCAGCGCACTGGCACACGCCTCTGGGGGAAGAGCAGGGACGGGAGAGACTGAGGCTCTGGCCCCAGGCAGGTGACCAGGGGGTCAAACTCATGGCTCAAATAAGACCCAGGGGTCTGTGGTCCAGGGTCCGTGGGGCCCTCCAGTGGGATAATGGCATGGGCATCACGGACCCTAAGCTATTTATTGAGCGGCTCCTGAGAGCCGGGGACTTGCTGTCCCTTGGTGGCCCTCAGGACGATCCCGCACAGCCCCACCTGGCAGCTGGGAGTCAGAAGCCTGGAGGGGAGGAGTAACTGCCCAGGGCCATGCAGCCGGGAGTGGCAGACCCAGGAAGTGAACCTGTATCACACCGATTCAGTTCAACAAAGCTGCACCCAGCTGAAAACCTGCCAGAGCTTTGAGTAGCCTCAGAAACACCAGTTCTGGGTTATTTAAAGCCCTCTGTGCTGGCTTCTGTGGGGTTTTCTCTAAGAATTACAATAATAACTAAAACGCATTGAATGCCGACTGTGCAGGGCCCTGCTCTCAGTGCAGTACCTAAAGGAACTCATTTCACAACAATCCTAGGCAGGGGTGCTGTGAAGGTCATCACGCCCATTTTGCAGATGGGAACCCTGAGAGGTTAATCCTGAGGGTTAACCTCAGAGAGATTAACAATTTGCCAATGTCCCAAGCTTGGGATCGGTGCCAGGGCCAGAATTTGGACCAAGGGAGTCCACCATCACAGGCTGTGCTCTTAACCACCATGCGGGTGTGTCCTAGGTAAGCAGGTTGACGATTCTTCAGTTACGACAGGGGAGGGTCTTGAGCTGATGACGGCTCATCCTGCCACTGCAGCAGTTAATGTCGCTAGCCCTGCAGGTGTAGGGTGAGAAATGGACAGGCAGAGCGGGGAAGCCCGATAACCCGTGCTTGGCGGGTCTCATCCTACAATGGCACCCATAATCTCTCCAATTTTATTTTGCCATGCTCAACTCCCTGGACTTTCTGCCTGAGGGCAAGGACCTGGTCTGTTAAGATGTTCCCTGCTCTCCATCCAGAACGGCACACAGTAGGTGCTCAGGGAGTAGTCGCTGAAGGACTGGCAGAAAGCAGCAGCGCGGTGCCGGTTTCCAAGTTACACAGCGATGGCATGATGGCATGTGCCATCTTGTTGCTGGTCCCCCAGGTGGGACCCTGGTTTCCCAGCAGTGGGCCGGGGGAGCCCCACCGATCCCCAGATCCCTGCCCCACACACCCCTCCTGCTGAACTCTGCACTCACAGCATCTGGAGGGACTTGAGTGCACGGCCCCAGGGTCAACTTCTTCCAGGCAGAGGAAGGCGGCCAGACGGTCAAAAGACACCTTCGCCTGGGGAAACCAAAGCCCAGGTCACCCGTGCCCCAAGAGCAAAAAAAGAACTCAGACTTCGTGTATCGGGTTCTCAAGCTTCCTGTCTACCAAGCCCTGCTCATTTTCAAGGCATTAGCACAAAGCTGTTGAGGTCACGGAAAAGGATGCACGTGGAGGTGGTGATGATGGTGGTGGTGATGATGGTGGTGAGGATGATGATGGTGGTGATAATGGTGGTGGTGACGATGGTGGTGGTGATGATGGTGGTGGTGATGATGGTGGTGGTGATGATGGTGGTGATGATGATGGTGGGGGTGATGATGGTGGTGATGATGATGGTGGTGAGGATGATGGTGGTGGTGATGACGGTGGTGAGGGTGACGGTGGTGGGGGTGATGGTGGTGGTGATGGTGGTGATAATGGTGGTGGTGACGATGGTGGTGGTGATGATGGTGGTGGTGATGATGGTGGGGGTGATGATGGTGGTGGTGATGATGGTGGTGATGATGATGGTGGTGGTGATGA